CTGCTTCATACATCATGCAAAAATATGTTTGCTGTGAACATTCAACAACCACCAAGTCCAAAAACAAACAGGAATAGAGAAACTTCTCTCTTTTTTTTTTTTTTTTACCTCAAGAATGAAAAATTTGGCTGTTTTCACTTTTGACCAGGTCTTCTTTAGCCTTGAAACTGGGCTCATGTTCATCCCAGCTACGAGGAAGGAAGGAGAGAGTTAAGAGTCAGGTGCTCTTTTCACATCCATTGTATGAAGCCAAAACAGCCGCATTGAAGTATTTACTTACAGATGATTGCCATGAGGGAATTGAAGTTCCCGATGTTAAAGCACTCTCGGGCGACGTCAATGAAGAACTCTATGACTTGCGCTCGCTGCTTCTTTTTTGCAGGCTGAAAACCATGGAAACAAAATAAGGTAAGGGAAGGGCATGCAAAATACTACTTGTGCCCTGCTTGGGGAAAACGACATTTCCAGCTCACTCAGCAGATTCTAGAAAGCCCCAACCACTTCCTAATCCTGTTGAGACTAATGGACATTTCTGCCTTCCAGTCTCCAGCATCGAAGCTTTCTCTGCAGATGGTGACAAAAGCTGCTGCATGTTAAGGCACACTCAACCACTGAGCCAGGACTGAGATAGAGTGCCAGACACCAGAAGATTATTGACTACAGGGAGAGTCTTTCCAAATGGCTCTAAAGCCATCAAATATATACAAAAATACCCAATGCCATGGGTGAACTCTTGACCACACTGAAGTCAATAAAAATGTTACCGCAGACTTTACTGAGGCCAGGGTTTCATCGCTTACATGACAACATCACTTTTACCCTATGAATGGCTTTTTTCAAAATACATTTAAAAAACCCCTTCCCTGCAAAGGGAAATGTATTGCCAATAGAAATCTCCAGAGTAACCGCTCAGGGCAGTGAATTTCTTCCTTAATGCACAGCTGCAGTACGGCACCAATCAAAGGGATGGAAGCGTCCCCAAAATATATACTTGCTTATGCTTACTGCTTCCTTCACTCTCCTCTATCCAAGTTTTATGCCACAGCCATCGTGACCCGAGCACCTGCATCTGCCTCCACATAGGAGAACATCCCAGCATGAGCCAGGCAACCACATGCTCATCTGGTGTGGCCTTTCTTTTGCTACTTTTAGTAGCATGCTCCCCTGAATCATCTGGGTGGCAGCTGCAGGTTATAACTGCATGAACTCAGACCCCCATGTTCTTTTCAGATGGGTCACCAAACCACCACCAAATGGCTACAATACGGAGTCATTAGCAAACTTGAGCAGACTTTATTGAGCAAACTTGAGCAGACATTAGCAAACTTGAGCAGTCATTAGCAAACTTCAGTCTAAGAACTTAGAGATTCCATATCCACTTACTGTTCCTAGCCTTCGTATTACATTTTTAAAGCGGGTAAAACATTTGTTACATTTACAGAATCCAAACATATCTGGATAGATGTATAGACATGAGCAACATGTCTAAGAGCCCTATGATGGGTGCCAACAGGGACATAATGACAACAGTGAGCCTTGGAGCTCAGGGTCACTTTCATACTGCTCCTGGTCAGTTGGGATGAGCTTGATCTGAGATACATCATAGACGGGGAAGAAGAAAGGTCTTAGCAGATGTCCCCGTGGGATCTTCACAGACAGCGAATGCGATGGAAAGAGATGCAACAGGAATGGCCAAAGGCCTGGAAGACGAACCTGATGAAGACAGGTTCACACAAGCTGAGATTACAGGGAAGGGTGCCTGGTCCACAGATCTAAGGGCAGAAGGGGGATCTCGGAGGGTGTGAATAGAGCAGATCTGAAACCAGGCTAGGAGGAAATAGGAGTTTCAGTAAAGTGGAGTGCAGGCAGGGATCCGGGACACGAAGCAGAACATTCAACGAGGTGTGAGGTGAAGGGAGAAGGGAGACAGGCCAGTATTCAGCCTAACTGGAAAGGTCAAAGACGTTGGGGGGGGGCGTTTAAGAACGAAGGACACTAGGCTGTGCTTGTATCGAGTGGGGAATGAGCCAAAAGAGAAGAGAGAGGAGCCAAGGTAGAGGGGTGAGAGCGGAGGGAATTCAAACAAGGTGAGTGGCACGGAGGAGGAAATAGGGCTGGAGCGGGAAGGGCTGGAGGCTGAGAGAGATGGCATGGGGAAGGGACAAGGCAAGTTTGGGGCAGCCCTCATTTCTCTTACCTCCCTGAGCCACCTGCTTTCATAGTTTTTAGTTTATGGCAAAGGAAAGATGGGAGCAGGTCCATTTGGACTTGAGAAATGGATTCACAGCATTGGGAAGACCAATAGTACAAGGATCCCTCTACTTCTCATTCTCCACTGTAATATTTTAGAGAGAAAAAATAAACCCCCAAACTGACTCATCCAATAAGATTATTTCCCCCAGCACAGCCCATCTTTTCACAGCTCCCTGCTCTGCACAGTCTGCAGCAATAAAATGCGGCTTCCCCGCTAAAGCTCAGTTTGGTAATGTTTGTCATTTCCCACTGTGTACCTATGAGGATAATATCATTAAAACCTATGTAAGAGATTTAGTTGGGTCATGAAAATTAAATCTCAAGGTTTGCTTATTAATGTCCCATCTCACACTGGCACATCAAGCACGTGGTAAGAAACAGTCGTGTGCGTTTCACTTACCATGCAAATTTCTGTTGCTACCAGATAGCAGAGTCTATTGAACCATTTCACATAGGCTTCTAGGTTACTAGTCTTCTTCTGTTCACTGAAACAAGTCTGGGAGAAAAAAAAACCCAACAGAGAATGACATATCAGCGTATTTCACAGAGGTGTTGGCTTTAAGATACGTGCTACCAAAGGGTGATTATTTTTCATATAATTCTGTCACAAATCTCCCCTTCTCACACGCACAATGGACTTTGCATTACGGATGAAGTTACAGATGTCAGTGGGTGAGTAGGTGGGTGGCAGATGTGTGGGGTCTGACTCTGTCTGTCAGCTTATACAAGTCAAAGCAGTGTATGAAGAACAGCCCCGTTTTGCCTACAGCAAATGTTCACCAATGCAATTTATGTTGATCTTTGTTCCCTGGAATATTAACAGCCTGATTGACTACTGCAATATTCAAAGAGCAACAATATGCATGGAAATACAAGACAAGCACCATATTCCCTAACACAATCAGTGCATCTCTTTGACTCGATGACTTACTGTAGTTTAGCAGAAGCGATTGCCCATGGCATTTTCCCGGATGAAAGAATCGCTAATGTGGTTAAGAAAAAGGATGGCAACTACAACAGAAGGCAGTTGCACTTGCTTCTTTTTGGAAAAATAGGTTGTTTCTTTCTTTCCTTTGGGATAATATTTTCTTGGCTGACCTGGTTCTGGTCTCATAGGTTGCTTTGAAACAGGTCACTCAGATACAAGGCAAACTTCAGTGACAAGATGTCTTACAATAAATCCCTTCCCGGGGTTTGACAGTGCAGGCTAATAGGTGTGGGGACAGATTGCTGACTGGTATCAGTGATCATCACAGCTCCATTGACTTCAGTGGAGTTAGTTTACCTGAGCTGAGGAGGTGTCCTTGGGTTTTCCACAATTCAAACCTCCTTTAAAAGTTCCAACTTTGATGAATGTTGAGGACCTCCAATCTAGGGCTTATGGCTATCTGCTTCCCTAATGTAGTTACACATCTATTAGCATCCACTAGAGGGAATCAGTGATACCCTCATTTTATTAAAAGGTGATAATTTACCATCCCAATGAAACCTTAAGCAAATATCATTAAGAGAGTAAACAGGCAGAGCTTATCTACGGGAAAATAAATCATGATACCATGTAAGCTGAGCAACTATCTAAGGCTCAAGAGGCGTAAGCTTAAACTAGAGAAATGCTGATTTACAGCTGTGGATGGGTAAGGTTTTATAGAAGCAAAAAGCGCATTGCTTTTAGCATTGCAAAGAATTTCTGCAGAATAAATCTTTGTTTTAAAAGAAGATTATAAACAGCAAATCAACAGAAGAAAAAAAACTGAAAAACCATCTTTTAAAAGAGAAATCCCCAGTCAGTCAGTGGCAGAGGCCTGTAAAAACTGCTTACGCACGTTGTTTTTACTTCTGTGGTCACCGTAACAAGTCTCTGCAAAATTGGGCCCTTTGTCGAGAACCCTCTGAGCACACTCACCTCTGGGCTAGGAACAAATCACATCAGGCAGCTTCGCAACAAATCGCATATTTTAATTTTAAGACAACATTTTGCTGAACATTACTGCTAATCAAAGTGTTGTTGTTAATTAATTATAAGAAGTCAATGAGAACATATTTATGGTTTGGGGACAGGTGTACCCCCTCAGTGTTTGGAACACAATGCTGTTACCTTGGTGCATGGCTGGGTCAATACCTATACTGGTGTAAACTGCACCATTGGCGTGGGATGAGGAGCAGACAGCTGTATGCAGTATGGGGCTCTTCCTAGGCTTTACCTTTAGCAAGCAGCTATGCAGGAGGGCAAAGGACAGATGGGCAATATGGTTCTCTGCTAGACACCACGGACTACCGGAGCTGCTGTATCTTAGAGCTGTTCCAGGTGCATCTACACAAGATGTTTAATGTGGAGCTGCCTAATTAGCTGTGCAGTAAATGTCTTAGTGTTTATACATGCGGCCCTATTAGGCCACAATAAATTAATAAACTCCGCCACAGGTTAGTACTTGTACATACAAGTACTATCCTGCTGTGGAGATTTTTTAGTGAGCAGCAATGCACATGTAGACGCTAACTTGGCTGGCTGGGGCACAGGGGTGCTTCAGGGCAGGGTGTACCTGCTCACTAGCCCTGCACTGGAGCCCCCTCATGCCCCAGCCAGCCCCTCTGCATCACAGTGAGCAGAATCGGAGCAGCCCTGGGCTGGCAGGCTGACCCCCGGGGCGCCCTGCCAGCTGGAGCTGCTCTGACCTGGCTCAACTTGCAGTCCCAAGCACATGTTCAAATGCAGCGCCCGGGAGCAATGGACTCCAGCACAAAATGCACTGTATCAGTGTTTAAAGAAGTGCTTAAAGAGCATGTATAACAATGACCGCTATGCTCCTGTCTTAGCTTGAAACATCTCGGATTTACTGTGACCTCTGGAGTCAACATCCTTGGGTTTCCCACCTCTGCCATTACTCTCACACTCTCTCTAGTCTTTATTCTGGAATCGCCCTCTGTACCTGATGTTGCTTTGGATTTGCTTCTCAACCTTAATTACTCTTTGTATCTTGCTGTTCTTCCACGGGCTTTCTGTTTCAATTTGGTGGCTCTAATGCAGGATAAAGGTAGGTTGCTGATATCTTAGTTTGCATTTTGGTCACAATCTCCCAATTCTTTGGCAATCCCCTAAAGCAGAGAGAGCAGAATGGCCAGCCCCTAGGGTGGAACCTGCTGACCTTAGACTTGTGCTGGGATTTTCAGTGGTGCTTAAAGAAAGTTAGGTGTCCAGATGCTGTCCACACATCTACACCTTCAAATGAAACTTGCACCTCGCTCCTCTAGCTTTGCAAATCCCACTCTCCTACACTCTACCTATGGACAAGCTCTGCGTCAAGTCATCCATGGAGTCAACAGGAGTAGCTCCTGCGGAACGACTGAAGGATTTAGACCATAACAGCAACAGATTTTGAGATTCTGAGAACCATATCTGAAAAGATGGGAGGCCAAATTCAGCCCTGCACGAGGCATGGGACTTTCTTTCCATCCTTCTGAGTCTATGCTGGTACTTCCATTTGGTAAGGGGCTGGCTCAGCTCGACTTCTCAGTTGGGCTCGGCAAAACAATCAGCCCTGCTGGGGAGACAGAAAATGCTAAAACAGGCAGCAGCCCTACAAAGTAAAAGAGTTGGTCTTTAGCTACGCCTAATGTTTAGGGCCTGAACCAGGAAATGCTGAGCACCTCGACTCCCACTGTAATCAATGGAGGTTGAGGGACTTGACAGAAAGGCAATGTGCTGTCATGAATTATGAGCAGAAACTGCCCTGCAGAAGAAGATTAATATCAGGCCTAAATTCCACCCTGCCACCTCCCACCCCACCATGTGGTGGCACAACTCCCAGAAAGGCTGGAAAATTAGAAAAGCTAGCAAGAACAGGAAAGACCCTCCCTTTGCTCCCCACCTTGCCCTAAGGGTCTGGAATAAAGTATGACTAGCTCCAGGTTTGCCTTTGTTATCCAACCTCATTTAGATAACAGAAGTTATTTTCCCAACAAGCAAAAGCCTTTCCCATTAAAACAGTCTCTAAGCTCCTTGTAAGCCCAAGGCAGCACCTTCCTCAGTATATATATACACATATTTTTGCAGGGCTCTTTTACTTGCAGCACATGGAGCTCTCAGAGAGCTCCAACAACCCTTCAACATCAAAGCTCTTTTACAAAGGATGCTATTAGCGCTCATGGGCTTTGAAGCCATGGCTTTGTCCCAATAAAACCAGATGAAAGCCAGGGGAATTTTGCAGTGAAAGCAGAAGGGGGCCACACTCCCCCATTTTTATTTGTCTATATTGTTTCTGCATCAGAAGCTATTACAATGCACAGGCTCTGGCCAACAGATTTTCTCTTGCTCTTTCCAGTGTCAAAGATAGTAACGCTTATGAATTCAGTAGGCGGCACACATCCTCAGGGCAGGATTTGCCCTCATCTCTGTTTGGGGGGGAATATATAAAAAGAATTCAAAATGTGTTGTGACATCACTCCTGTTATTGATGACCTCATTGAGGCTTTGCACCAAAGCTGACGGGAGCCAGCAGGAAGACTCCCATTGACTGGATGGGCTTTGGGCCTAGCTCTAAGGTCCTGATCCCATTTAGGAGCCTTAGAAATTAAAGGTGTTATGTAATGGGATGCTACAGATGATTAACACACCGATTTGTAACAGGCCCATTCTGGTTCTGGGCACATGTTAGGCCACATTACATACAAAAACTTCATGCCTTCGACATTGGAAACAGATGGCTCTGTACATCCATAAACCAACTGCCCTGATAAGAGGAAACATTACTAGGGGTAACACGAGGTGGGTCTTCCTCCTCCTCCACACGGCTTTTCATGGCTCAAACTGAAAGCTAAAACAATGGTGACCTATAGAAGTAGGCACTAGCTATTCCTGGACTCAAGACAGTGAAATAGGATCAGGCCTAAACACCTAAGAGAACTGGATTTGTCCCCTTGGGGTTGCACAAAGGTAGTCTACACAAAGCCTTTAGCAGGTTCAATGGGTGGCCAGTCTCAGGTTCGAACAGCGAGACAGAAATCCAAGGCAATGCCCTGCCAGTGAGAAAGCTCAACCATCAGCTTATCTTCACTGCATGAAAATGTTAGTGCCCCCAGCACCTTTGCAATAGCTCTTGTACCACACTCACTGTTAGCTTTGTGCATCTCACCGCAAACATCCATCTAGAAGAAAGCAATTGCAGGAAACATTTGCCACATCCTACCTTGGTCCCATCCAGAGGATCTTTATGCACAAACGCCTGCACAAATTCTTCAGGCCCAATGCGACTCAGCCTTTCCTTTGGAGGGGAAAGACAGTGAGAATGAAAATGCACACCTAGACTCTTTATTATCAGCTTTGTCAGATTTTAGAGTTGCTAGTCAAGTTTTTTGTTGTCAGCTTAACCAGGGATTAATGAAGTGCTATGTAGGTAGCTTTTCACTCCAATAGAAATCCTCTCAAAGAGAAGGCATCCTGCTCCAGTCGAGAAGGCGCCAGGCTGGGGGTCAGGAGACCTGGAGGCTTTTCTTGGCTTTCACCGATCTACTTTGTGACCCTGGCCTAGCCACTCTCTCTCTCAGTGGGTACGTCCACATGTGCCCCTGACCGTGCAGTTGGTAGCGTGCAGATATTTAGTACTTGCTTTAGCTTGCTACCACTGTGCAGTAGCGCATCACATGAGATGCAGCATCTCGTGTAGGCATGCCCACTATCTCCATGCCCCGTGTTGTGAACAGGGATAACAGGGTTTGTGGATCTACCAATGAGCAGTGACAAGCGAGGGCCCAACAGTATCACTGTCCCAGCCCTGCCCAGACTGAAAGGGAGTAGTGGTCAGCTGGGCCCCAGGGCTGCTCGCTGTCTGTGTACAGGGGATGTCCAGTGTTGAAGGTGCAAGTGCTTAGATATCACAAATTAATGGGCCCAGCTCCCCACCGTCTAAGGGACTAGGATGCCAATTGCTGGTCCCTGAGCATACCTGCAACGTGTTGATCGCCACTGGCTAGCGGGACAGCTACCATATTTTTCCACATCACAAGCAAAACCCAAGAGGAGTTGCATGTTAAAAAGAAACTAGTGTTTGTGATCCTACCCCCGCAGGATCTCAGCTCCATTCCCTGAACAATCAGCTGCCCTGATCAGAGGCTGCGAGCTGTAACCTCTGAGGAAAGGTCTGCTTGACATGAGCGGTATGCATTTGGCTGACCTGCACAGTGTTTCTCAAATGAATTTTCATGGTACATGACTCGTCCTCGTGCCTTACACAGCTAACAGAGCTTCCCCCTGTACACTGGAGGGAGCTGCTTCCCACTGCGCCCAAAACTGCCTCCCTGGGATTTGATGTCTATCAAAGGATCTCAAGTGCACTAGACCATGATGCCTCACTAGAAGTGAGGCACGATAGTTTACAACAGTTTGCATCAGCATCACAATTAAGTTGTGCTGGATACTACCAAGGCAAGTGAATCTATTACTTAACTGAACAGAGCCCGAGGGGCCATGTTTTGAACTCAGACACTTGTGTAACTCCCACTGACTTCCTCACGTACTGCCAGGGCACAATTCGGTTCAAAAGACAGAAGCAGGAGAGAACATTAGTTATGTGTTTCTGTAAACAAGAGCAATGACTTCTTGTTGCTAGAGGGGGAAATACGATTATGCCGCTGTGGCCTACCAGATAGTGCCCCAAACTGGAAATCTGGGGAGCCACCTTCCAGTCTCAGCTCAGCCTCTGTAGTGACCATGGGCAAGTCACACTGCAAGTCTGTGCCGTTTTCACATCTATAAAATGGGGATAATCCCGAGGATGCACGATCAAGCACACAGAGATCTGCTGATAAGCAGCAGTACACACCAGCTGGGTACTACTGTGTATTATGGGTGGCATTTTCAAGCGGGTATTAAATTGGGCCCTGAATCCTAATGGCGTTTCAATAGGAAACTGGTATCTAATTCCTTCTGGTGCAGTGGAACAATGCTGGTGGCGAAGTGGAGTGAAAGCCCCAGGTTGCTCCAACGCATTGCAGTTTGCAGACTGCAATCCAGTTAGAAGGGGCCTTATCTTAGGGTGAAGCTCTCCCATGGGGTGGGAAAAAACAACAAGCCCCTGCCACAGAACGCTTCTCTAGTCTGTAATGCTGTTCACTTTGAGCTGTCAAAAGCTCGAAGTCCTAGTCACGTGCTCAGAGAGGCTAAGTGAGCGTGCCTCCACCATGGGCTTCCAGCGTGAAAACAGAGGAAGCAGGGTAGAGTAGCGGTGTACGCAGGTCACCACATCTTTGCAGTCAAGGACACGTGGTGTCCACATGCATAGGGGTCACTGGCTAGGAGAAAAGGCTGATTGCCCCATGCTGGCAAAGACCCCACCGCCACAGCCACAAGAGAGCGCGAGAGTTAAACACTGGCTTGGGAGCTGACTGCATCAAGAGGGGGGAAAACAACCAAGACTTGTGTGTGAACGCGGCCAGAGCTCACATTTCAGGCCTGTGAAACCACAGACAGAAAAGGATCAAGGCATGGAAACGCCTCCTGCATCAGCCTTGGATAAGAACAATGAGAAATCTTCAGTATCAAACACAACCAAGAGCAGAAGTCAGCCGTTCCCCATCACCTCCTGTTCGAGGGGCTCTCAGGTTTCTCCAGGTGTGAATGAACTACACCTTGTGACCCCCCATCAAGCAAGGAAACACCCTCACTTCGCAGACGAACGAGCCGGGGCAGGCAAAGGTGCTAAAGGACCTGCCCTGTCAGACCACGACATCGTGGCACCTACCCTGATTCTCAATCATTTGCTTTGATCCGCTGAACCATGCCTCCTCCTGCAAAGCTCAGAGTCTCCCAAATATGCGGCAGCAGCGTGTGCATTTTAGTGGTGTTCAACTGCGGCAGGTGCCAGGCCGGTCAAATATTACCTCTGAATGCAGAAGCTGGACGGCAGCTCTACTTACCAATTCCACATGTGTCAGCTGTTGAGCCAGCGTGTAAGGGTCGCTGCAGACACTCAGGATTTCTCTCTGAATTGAGGGGGGTTTACTTTTAAAAGCAACCAGCTTGTCGGAGACAGCCGCGCTGATCTTGACTATGCCGTCCTGCCCAGGGCTAAGGGTTGCAAGCTTCTGATCCAGGGTTTGCAAAAGCTGATTCATCTTTTTCCAGTAGGCCTGGAGAAAAACAGAGCCGAGCAGAAGATGAACCTACGCAGCCCTCCAGGACTCCACAACAGAGTGTTTGACTGCACTTTTCTAGTCCAAAACATCCCCAAGCCACCGACAAGTTACCTACCACCTTATTCTCGACACGTTCGTTTTGGAATGACTAGCTGACATAATTACAGGTCCACCCTTGGCTCCGCACCACAGAAACCAGCTCCACGCTGCACCAGCCCAACCCGCGGACCAGCACCAAACGAGCTCTGCCAAGGCCAGACCGAAGAGATTAGGAAGGAGAGATACAGCTCCTCCAGCAAGTTGCTCAACATTTATACTAATGTGCCTTGGAGCTGGTTCTGGTCCCAACTCTTTAATTTTGATTGAGTGGCTGTACATATTAGGGATGTTTGTAATAATGAGCTTGGCCCCTAGTACTTGCGCTTCCCTCCATCTGTCTGCCTTGCACCCTGCTGTAGCATACTGGGGCTTTCAAGCAGCAGGCCCTGCCAGGGGTAAGAGCACTGTGGGGCTGGGAGCATTTACTGTACAAGATGTTGGTTTGTGTGAAGTGGAGCTTATCGAGTATCCCAGTCATTGCGGCACACGCAGGAGGCACCATCATCATCGGGCAGCCTTGGCTGACTTTGGAATTGGATTCCACTTTGTAAGAGGAGCAACAAGTCCCAAGGAACAGGCTGAAGTGCTCTTGTCACCTTTCACAATAGGCAGATGCTAATGTCATAAAACTGACAACTGGGAGACAGGGAAAAGGCCTCAGTAAGCAGAGATTTCTATTTAATAAAACCTACCCACAATGCAGGGCAACATTTTAGGGCCCTGTGAATTAATGCTTGGGCCAAATCCACAGCGGTGGCTAAGAAACGTTCAGCAGGTCGTGTGCATGGGGTGGCTTAAAGCCTTGCATCCTCTAAGTGGGCAGATCAGTGCTGCACACGCGCCCACCTTGCTGAGCTGTGTGCGCGGGGTTTGCTGCCCATGGCACTGTCTGTTTTAGCCAAGCAAGGATAAGCCACAGTCATTTGGGAACGCTGGTTGCAGCAGGGTGCATTAGCAACTACACTTCTCAGCACAGGTAGTCTTACTGCTAGCAAAGAGGAAAACTCCTTAACTGTCATTCAAATGGATGCAATTTAGCCCTGTGGTATCATTAATAGGAACTATTACAAATCAGTATGCAGCTCAAGCCAACCAAGCAACGACTCTGTCTCCTCCCACGGGCTACCTTGGATATAGAGGTGTGAGTCTGTTGCTGCCTCCTGAGCTCTGGTATTTTAGAAGCTCGTGTTTTTAGACATGGGCCCTAGGTTCAACTCTGCAGATGGTCGCCTATGGGAATCACTGTGCACAAATGACTTGGGAGCTTACGTAGAGCATAGCAGCTTCCTTTCAGCTTCACAGCATCATTACCTGAAATGTTAGGAAAGCCTCTGGCAGACGGTAGGGACACACACTGCAGCAACTGTCTCTTGGAAAAGGACTGATCAGTGGTTTGTGTTGGTGACACTCCCATGCTACATGCCCAGATCACTAGGAGTGGGACCCCATGCTTCCCTCAATATGCAGCATGTCCAGCTGTGTCCCAAACCTGGACTTCTCCCATGAATTCAAAGATTTAAAAAAGGTGCTGACACCCACCCTGTTTTCATCAGGGTCACTTCAATGCCACATGTGCTACTTGCATTATTCCTTCTGCAGCTTTGGCTTTCCTACCAGAAGAAATGAGGTGCTGGGCCAAACTCCACCTCCTCTGCACATGTCACTTCAGCAGGGCTGCGCCAAGGGGGAGAGGAACAGGATTTGCTCTCTGTCATTACGGCGATTGCTATGAAAGCAGATACGTGGTTCAGCTTTCATCTACGCCTCATTGACTCGGATGCAAGAGAAATCACCAGACTCGACTCACATGGGTCATTCTTCAAACAGAGTTTCATAGCTTTTGGGCTAGATCTAAACCAGTCAGCAGTATCTTTGGTTTGCATCCATGCTGGTTTTCATGTTTCAGCTGTGGTTGAGCATCCCTATGAACAAATCCTGTCACACTGACTTTATATTGTGGGAAAAACACTGATTTTTTCCCCCCCAATAAAAATTATTATACCAAAAAATACTGTCAAAATTCCAAAATATTTCAGGTTTTTTGGGTTTGGTTTTTTTCGCTGAAATATGTTGGGGATTGAGGAAGTTTCTTTTTTCTTGAGCAAAGACAGAAATCTCCATTTTCTACCCAAAGTAGACCATTTTTATAAACAGTTTTAAAATCCAAACCCCACATTTCCACAAAACGTTTCAGTGAGTCCTATCTGTGGAGTAACATCATTCTTCATTGTTTGGATGCAAGACCAAAAATCAGCCCAAGATTTCTTGAATGATTCAAGAGCATTATCAAACCTTTTGGCAAACTTTGGTCTAACTATCCAGCTTCACTTGACTTCCTGGTGAACTTTTCACATGCATCTAACACAGGCCAGGGGAAACAAAGATGCACATAAACCTACTACGTAATGAAGAGTACTAAGAGAAACACCAAACGTACAGAAGCAGAATTATTTATAAAGTGAAATTCTCCAAGAAGCACTTTGAAAAGACTCATTTTGCTGAGCACATCCTCCAAGAAGCATTTCCATGTATTTTAAAGCAGCTTTATTGACTTTTCCCATTACAGATGTATTCCCTGCCTTGTTTAAACTGTGGCCAGCAAATGAAAATAGCACCTTCAATTAGATGCACTGTTCTTCTAGGCCCATCTGCTGGCAATTATCTCGTTGCAAAATGATGCTCTGATGTACTGAAAGCTCCACACCAGCCCGCACGCTGCCCCCTTCTACATCACTAACAGGCAGAAGAAGAGCGCTCTTGCCTAGTGGTTAAGCAAAAGAGTTAAGTTTCACCCAGGAAAGCTCTCCAGAAGATGGCAGACCCCAGCAGGTTGCTCAAAAGCTCAAAGTTTTGCCTGAAAAACTTCCCTCTCTAAGTGCAAATCACAGCAGTTGGCAAGAAATGCTTCTCAGCAATAATGCACACCTTGCTAAGCGCAGCTCAGAGCCTTTGCAAACTGCTGGCCAAGGGCAGAAGAATATACCGCTGGGGAAATTAATATTGCCCTAGGCAGCCTGGACTGAATGCCTCTTCCCCAGCAGTAGCCTCCAAGATTCACAACAGTGGCAACCTTTCCCCAAGCAACTCATGCAGCCCAACTGCTGTTCCTCACAAAGGAGATTTGCATGTGGAGGAGATGAGTTCCTCCTAAATTAATTATTGCTTTTGCTCGGGCGTAAGCTCTTGCAATTACAGCTCATATTAATATTTGAAGAACAACTCTTTGAGCCCAATCCAGAGATGAATTGAGTTCCCTCAGGGGACCCAGCAAAGGCAACAGGAGCTGCAGGTGCTTGGAGGTTGAATCCTGAGCGCTTGCTGTATGCATCAGACATCCCAGCAGCACGTGGCAAATAAGCAGATGCTTTGTATGCAGAAGACTGATCTTGACCATCTGAGCTCTTCTCCGGTGCGGCAGCTTAAAATAAAGTAGCTATCTTGAATTAGGTTTCTTATTTGCGTTGGTAACTCCCCCGTCTCCTGTTCCTTCTGCTCCAAACACAGATTATCTGGCTTCAGGTAACCCCAGAGGTGACAAGGACCCTTCTGGCTCAGCCAGCAGGAAGGCAGAGGAAGCTCTTCACCCCCTGAACTAAGAGCTCTCTTCCTTCCCTTGCTCAGAGAGGCACAACTCCCAGGGGAGCTGCACAGGTACAACGTCGCAATCCCCACACAATGCCCTTCCCCACACGAGAGCAGCCTGGATTTTAGACACATCTTTCCCACTGGAAAGGACAAGGGTCGTGCAGCATCTACTCCATACAAACCAGACCTGCAAGCGGGGAGGCCGTTTGGTTATTTCTTTCTGAGGTCAGAAGTGCCAGAGGCCTGGTGGCCACTTCTGACAAGCGCTTGGTAAAGCACAGCACCCGGACTGCCGTTAAAGGACACTTGCCAACACCAATTATTTTCTTCTCGTCATCCATCCCTTGTCGAGCCACAACTACTGGGATATGCAGGACTACTCTGGAGGTCAACTGCACGCTGCTTCTGATGTTCGCCATGTGGTTGCAGCCACCTGTTGCCTTGTTTTCTACCAACTTACAATCTTAGGATCAAACTGAGCTTTTGTGGCGGGGACCCTCTTTGTGATGTGGTCATCCAGATGTGACCACAATACATACAACCACTGACAACAGTAATGGCCAACCCAGTGCAGCAGTGGCTTCACCACATAGATTCATAGACATCAGGGCTGAAAGGGACCCTGGAGGATCATCGAGTCCAGCCCTCCGCCCCAGGGGCAGGAAGTCAGCTGGGGTCAGAGGATCCCAGCAAGATAAGCATCCAAATGCATCTTGAAGGCGTTCAAAGTAGGTGCTTGAACCACCTCCAGTGGCAGTCTGTTCCAAACCTTGGGGGCTCGGACAGTCTTATGTCCAGCCTGAAACGGTCATGGAGGAGTTTGTGACCGTTTGACCTTGTCATCCCTTGGGGTGCTCTGGTGAGCAGACGTTCCCCCAGATCCTGGTGAGCACCCTGATGAACTTATTGATCACCCCTGTACTGCTCAGCCTCATCTGGTTTCCCAAAGCCTGTGGGGTCGGAGGCAGGAGGCTGCTGGGATGAATGGGGGTGCCAGGGCCAGAGACTCCCCTCCCAGGCTCTCAGGTAGTGATTTGTGACTCTAGCACTGACTTCTTTCCCAGGAGGAGAAGAACTGCTGTGGAAGATGTACTGTGCCTATCTGGAGGCCAGGACCGAGGGGAAAATCCCTGTCCCCCTATCCACAGCATTCCCAACCCAGAGGACCAGTCCACAGCCCTGGGAGTCCCAGCACAGCCATTGCAGGGCAGCAAAGTCAGCGTGGCCCTCTCGTCTTGTTCTGCTGCAGTGCAGCCTCACCCAGCAATCCCACAGAGCCCTCCTGCCCTTTCTCCCTGCATTATTTTATGTTGGCCGCCCTGCCTGGCCAGCCAAACTCCGGCGCAGCAATGCCAGCCTGTTGCCCATGAGCACCATGCCAGCAGCTGTGCCAGCCCAGCCCGATCGCAGCTGCTTCCATTTCTCTCGTTTTTCATGTGGATGGGCGGGTCCCGGCTCACTTCCTTTCTGCTTCAATCATGCCAATTATTTTTTTTCCTACTGGATTACACACATCTGTGGCCTCAAACCCAGGCTGAGCCTTGACGTTGTCAATGGAAACAGGATTCTTTCACGACCCGTGGCTAACCCACAAGTAATTAGAGACTCGCAGTGCACTATCTGCCCTTCTCTTTATTATCTTCGTGGGCTTTGTGCTATTTTTAATACCTCCATGTTCCCAAAGGCTGAATCTGAATACACGTCCTGCTAACATCCCATCCACCCCTGCTTTCCTACTTGGGTGCACAAAGAGTAAACATATTTTAAGGCCAAAAGGCAACCAGTGCAATCATGGACTATAAATAAGCTGAGACACAGCTTTCTGTTGAGACGCTGCTGTTGTATCACCTGTCACTCTTGTACATATTCTAGGGTCTATGATGCACCATTTGTAAAGGACATTACTTCTTCTGTTGTAAGTTTTGTCCCAGGAGTGCATGCAGTTGCAAGTCGTTGGAAACACCACGTAAGAAAACAACTTCTTTTTGCAGATGCAATCCCAAAATCAATGCCACTGTTGTTCGCAGGCAGCATCCGACTCCGTGAGGACCTCTTCACTTGACATATTTGATGAATATTCAGTGCGATGCAGAGGTTTGGTCATGCGATTAACATTTACAGCCACAGAGAAGTGGACCTCGGAGCATGACTCCCCCTTATTTCAACAGCCAGCCACTGTCAGGGCATCGCGCTGAATACTTGCAGCTTTGCAATTAGCATGGCAGTGCCAGTGACGTCGCGCGAGTGACATGGAAGCGATGAAGCTCAAGAGGAGCAGTGTTTGGTGAACAGCAGCGCCTGCAAGGGACTTCACAGGGGCCAAGAAAGAGCCTGCCCCTGCATTCTTCACACATGACTTCTCCTGGGGGCATTTGATGGATGCGGAGGGAACACAATAGGCCCATGACGGGGCAGAGAGGAAGCATGGGGCCTGCAGCTGTGCAAGACTGAATGTGCACGTGGCATTTTGACAGCTGTCATCGCAGGACTATTCCTTAATTCACTGGGGAATGTAGTGTCAGTGTGGAGGCGGCACCAGCACCGGAGCACGTTAATACTCAGGGTCCTTCCTGGGCACTAGGTCTCTCCTGGGCCAGCAGGTCCAGTGGTCACGTTGCTTCTTGCCTACCCGCCTCTACCAGAAGAGGGGCTTGAAATGCATGTTTTGTGCCCTGCTTCATCCCAGCCTCTGCTGGTGTAACTCAGGGATGACTCTGGCCCAGGAAAATGACAGCAGACGCCATCCTAATTTTGTCACATCCGGCAGAGCCCCTCGGAGAAACCCACAGCTAATTTTTCAGCATTTAAACTCTCCCCAAAGCCACCCTATGACACGGGATCCCTAAAACACTGTCAGTCCCTGATGCCTTCATCCCCAGCCTTAGTGTTTATGGCCAAAAGTTAACAGGATATAAAATGAGCTAATGTTCTGGCCCATTGATCTCGAGGTCTTTAACGTGAATCCCAGGGGTATTAGTCAAGCCAGGCTCTGAATGCGATGTTTGGTGTCTGTTCAGCTTCTGGATCCTGCCTCCACAACACTCAGAGATGAGATCTGTGGAGACTGTTTCACAGCGGAGTGAGTCCGGCCCCTACAGGGCTTGCTAGTGACCGAAGGGGGAGAAAAAGGGCAGTTTTTGGGGGCAGCTGAGAGGGACCAGAAGGAGAACAGCAAAGATAGAAAATGAGGGATGCAGGTGGAAGAGAATGCAAGGAAACAAGGATGAGGAGAGGTGGGGAAGAACTGGGAAAGTGAGGCTTCATGTCAGGAGACAGAGAGGACTGCAAATGCCCTTGGAGGGCATCTTTTCCAGGATAAGCAGCATTACTTCTGTATCTTCAATCAAGCCAGGACTTCACATAGCCCTCTAAAATTGAGAGGAATCTGGCTACTTGCCCTGCCCTACATAGGCTACAGTTACCCCACCGGCAGGTTGCATCCATCACTGCTTGGGTACAGGGGTTTAGCACACTGGACTCAGAGCTTCAGTGGGGGCCAGGGGTTTCATTCCCCAGGCTTTGGCCTAAACCATGGGAAAATCATGGCACCCGCTCTGTGCCTCACCTCCTCATCTGCAAAAGAGAACATTTCCCTTCTGCAGACAGGCATGGGGAGGTGGGGGAAAAAGAGGGGAATAAGACTTAGTAACTATCCAAGTTATCCAAATACTACAGCCACATCAGCACCAAGATGAACACCGCTTTCGGTGGAACTATGATGGCTTTCATCCATGAAACCTGGGTTCATTCGTGAAAGCCTTCGGCAGTAGGACGTGGACCCACTGTATAAAACATAGTAGGGAAAAAGGAAAACCGGTTGAGCATAGCATTCTCCAGCACCTCGAAACACCAGCAGCCTCACCTCGTCACAGGGAGCAATCCTGTGAATCATGTCTTTCAAGTGGCCGATCATCTGCTCCTCCTGGAAATCATAGGGGAATGTTTCTGTCCACTCTGTCAACAGCTGCAGGATTTTGGGTCCAAATTTTCTGATCCGGGCCTGAAACAGAAACAAGACTGCTGAAGACAGGCTGAAAACCCATTTGGCAAAGTCATGAAGAATGCCTGGCTGGCAGTTGGGGCCAAATTTCTAAAGAAGGCATTTAAGGTTGTGTCCGCAGAATCGGCACACCTGCAAACAAATCACCTGGGCACAGATGGCACGTTTCTGCAAGCAAACTCAGAGTGCCTGTGTGCTGTTGTACATTCAGATGCACGTATTTTGCACACTCAATTGCCCATTTCTGAGCAGAGGGACACATTTTGTTGAGGCGACTTTGCTGCCCTTGTTTAAGAGATCTGGCCTTGTCCAATCCAAAACAGACAATCTTTCCTCCTGTTCAAGTCCTGTGCACACTTCCATTGGTTACTGGTTGCAAACTAAATATTTCTTGGGCAGCAAGGAGAGGACTCTTTTGCTGCTTTGCTTTCTGGCAGGCAGGATCTACCACTTAGTGGACACTGTCTGCAATCCTGCGGGGAAGAACAGACATAGAAGTGAGCCATGTTAGTAACGTCCCTCCCCCAATGCTGACTACCGATTATACTGCCCTCTTCTCCTTATGCAAGTGTTGAATAAGTTTGGAGATGTTGTGGGATGGTGAGGAGAATTTGGGGCAGACCCTTCTCTGTGCAGCAGTATGTAACTCAATGCATGCCCAGTTTCTGCTTCTTCTAAAGCGCTCATTTTCCATTGTCCAAGGGAGGAACGACAAGCGGGGGGAGGAAGGCAGGGCAAATCGCTCCAAAACACCAGAAAACAATAGCATTTTTATTTACAGAAAATGCAGATGAAAACAAGCAGCTTCCTGGTGTATCCTCCAACCCGTAGCTAACGAGCACCCTGTAATCAGGAAAAATGATACCGTTCTGCTCCATAGCTCCCTGCTTTTCAACAAAGTCGGTTAAAATGCATAGTTCAGCTTTCCACCAACAACAGGTTTCAAAGTACCACAGCTCTAAAAATAGCTAGTGTCAGCCTGCCCCAAGCATACACTCGGACATCAGCAGGTGGCTCCTAAGGAAAAGGCTCTGCTGGGACTGCAAGCAGGGAGGGTCTTTTTATCCAGCTGCGCGAACTGGTGTTTACTTCAGTTTATGCACCGGAGGAGGGAATTGCGTGCTGTCACGGGACACGATTCAAGGCATCAAATGCTGCTGAGTCTGGGTAGAAAGGATGCTCACGAGGAGGGCTTTCCAGTGTTTAAAAGCTTAGCCCAACCATGGCAGACAAGGTTCTTTGGGTAATTCTGATCTCTTTTATTAGACCAACAAAATAGTTGGAAAATTTCTCTTTTGCAAGCTTTCGGGTACAAACACCCTTCTTCAGACAGAAGCAGCGGCTGCAGTTGTTTTGTGCTCTTCCTGGATCCAGTGACACCAGATTTATTTACGGCTGCCCAAGGGGCCCCAGCTTGTCTACCTAGAGGTTCACAAGCAGAAGATGATGTTGCACTTATTAAATTATAAACACGTGAACACACATCTTTCCTTGTGAGCAGTTACACTGCCAAGCCCTAGGAAAGTCATACACAGGCCTAAAAGTCACTGCAGCTTTGAAATGTCAGGTCTGTAGAATAAATGTTCATTAAAAAGGTATCTGGCACATAATATAGGGGGTTCAGCATCTGGCACATAACCTGAGACTTAGTTGGCTTCAGGTCTGTACGACCCCGAGCATGGAAGGAACAGGCCTTATCACTGACAACAGTTTTATAAGTCAGATACTTCAGTAACAAGAATATGACAAGACCGATGCACAATCTTCTCCACGTCACCATGCTTAGCAATCACGAGACGATACGCCAGCTGGGACAGAACTAGGGCATCACGCATAGGTGCTGAGTACGTGGGGGCCCGAGGGCCCTGGCCCACCTCGGGGAGAGGCAGTCCTGAAATGTGAACATCCAGTCCCAGGCTGCATGCTGCCAGGACAGCATTTGTCCTGGTTTCTCAGTATTGTGTAGGATCCGGGTTTTCCGTTCACCACAGAAAAATGTGGGACTTGGCAGGGTCCCCCTTGCAGGCTGGCAGAGATGCAAGGGCCTGCAGGGAGTGGGACACGGGGGGACCATGTTTATACATGTGTGCACAGATGCACGTGGCCAGGAATACAGCCACAGCTGCAGTGGAGAGCAGCTCCCCCAGCTGCCTGCAGGTAAGTCAACGGGGTTGGGGGGGGCGCAGATTGAGGCACCCATGGTGAGGAAGCGAGTGGGACAGGGGCTGGGCCTGGGGATGCTGCCCAACCAGGGCTGTGCCTGAGACCCAGGACCGAGGTGGGGAACACAATTCCTTGTATGGCAGAGGAAGCAACACTTCCCGGCACTGCTACACAGGAACGATCAGTCAGTACAGACAAGGGGAGGTTAATAGGTAGTTGCATGCTATTACGTGGAGTTCACAGTGACAGGTAAGGCCGAAGGGAATTGTTACATACTGTACCAGAAGCAAGACAGCAAAAGGGCAGACACATTAAGTACAAACGGGAAGGAGTGAGGTGGGCTGACAACTGCAATCGGCAGTGTGAGGTTTAAATCCTCCCTCCTTGCAGCCAGGAGGCTTGATCAGAGCCTTAAATAAGTGAGAAGGGAAATCACCTGGGAAGACTGAGACAAGGGAAAGGGAAGTTAGAAGAGGATTTGGAGTGACTAGCACCTGGAGCTCTGCCCTTGGATAGCAATGACATTAGTAGGATGCAATTATGCCAGGTTCCCAGGGACGACCAGAACCTTTCTGGGAACGGTTTCGTACAGACAGAGAGGAGGTGACCACAGATGCGTTCAGGACAACCCCAACAACGCTCTCCATCAGCCCTGCCCTTGCAGCCCCTTGCAAGGGCTTTGAGCCTTCCCAGTGCAACACAACTCACCTTATCCAGCACGGGGTCATCGAGACGCTGCTGCTCGATGCACTTGTGGCAAACCCGGGACAGAAGTTCGTGAGGTTCAATGAAGAGTCTTGAGCTCAGCAGGAATGTGAAGATGTAGGCTTTCTGCGGAGCCAAAGAAGCAAACCTATTCTCAGAGGGCTGGAGAGCATGCAACATTTGCCAGGAAATGCCTTGAATGCCATCTCTAGACCTGCCCTTCTTACAAGGCACAGCTGCTTCTGATCCCCCATTTATAAAGGGACACAAGCATTTAGGCACACACTCGCCTTGAGCTTACACATACATGGGTACAGCACATCTGTAAATAGTGACGCTGGACTGATTGGTTTCTGGCTGCCCGAGGGACCCCGGCATGTCTACCTGGAGGTTCACAAGCAGAAGATGATGTTGCACTTATTAAATTATAAGCACGTGAACACACATCTTTCCTTGTGAGCAGTTCTACTGCCAAGCCCTAGGAAAGTCATACACAGACCTAAAAGTCACCGCAGCTTTGAAATGTCAGGTCCACAGAATAAATGTTTATTCAAAAGGTATTTTTCCAGGGAGTTTGAAATGTATGCATGAATCTCCAGGGTGAATCCTTAAATAGTATGCAAAGTCATTTTGCATCCTAACCTTCAGGCTCCTTCCCACAGACCCACCCCTGCCCCCAAAGAGCAAGTAAAATCTTTCACAACCCACACGCTGCCTACTAACAAATCTGACAGTCTAATTTGGCCATTATCTATTTTTTTATTGCTTTTCTCCTTTTTGTTATCATTTATTTTCAGCTGATCAGAAAATGAGCTCTTGCTAATTTAAGACTCACTGAGTGTTCTGCATTGATACCTTTCCTGGGCCCTTAAACTGCCCAAAATTCAGTCACCCTCTTTGCTACTTCATAATACAGGCCATTGCACTGGGACGCATTACCACTTAAAAGTCTTCCCATCAAACTCTGCCCTCAATTCCACCGAGACATGGCAAATCCACCAAAGTCAAAAGGGCTGCGTGAGTGTAAGAGGAGAATTTGACCTCTTGGATTTGATTCTCATTCTGTCAGTAGAGTTATTCTGCATTTACACCGGTGAAACAAAGATCAGGGTTTGTGCTCATGTGCAGAGGCTCTACGAGTGTGGCTGGGATATCCTAGGCACATTATGAGCTGCCATAAGCCGTGGCTCGATGTTCACTCAGGGAAAGCCGCATGCGCACAGAGCGGTCTGGGTGATTGTAGCAGCCTCTGAAGTTCAGCTACTTTTCTGCTAGTTCAGATTCAAAGCTATTTTGCTTCAGCCGACAACTAAGCCTCTCTGGGATGTGCCGCTATTTTTAAGTGCCCCCCTCCTGCTAAACTGCAAAGTCATCATCACCAGCACTTTATTTCCTGTTGTCTTATTTAACCAGGCAGTGGATCCTGAACTGAAGGCTCTTGCATGGGAACAATTACCAGAGCAGCGCGACAACATTTAAAACAAGGCGTCGATTTACCAAACTTGAATTGTATCAGTTTTCAAACGATCCCTCTTACTTCTTAAATGGGCACATTTGCATTTTGGCATAAAGTGCCCCAATTCATCAAAGCTAAGCTGAAACCCTGCTTACTTCTGGGTAGTAATCAGCAGTAGGTATGAGATGTTGGATTAAAGCATCTAGAGAGGCTGAGGTGAGGTTTCCATCCTGGAAGATCAGTCCACCTTGGTCATCTTCTTTCGACGAGTGTAGATGGGGACTGAAGGCGCAGGGAGCGAACATGCTGGTTGAGCTCAGCGTCTGGGGCATGCCTTCCTGCAAGAGAAAGAGGTACCTTTCAGGAGACAGCTTGGAGGCCCTGAACCCATGGGGCACAGGAACAACCTGGTGGTTAAGACAGACCACAAGCAGGGCTTCCCATTTGTAGGACAAGCGACCCATCTTGGCTATGCAACGCCCTCACTGACACACAGCGCTGCCTCTTGACCACCCCTGCTCTGGGAAACCTGCTGCAAGAAAACAGGAGACTTGTTTCTGGAGGAGGAAAGCAGCTGCTCATGGCACCCCTGCCAGACAGAGTAACAGAAGCAGCACTGTCCCATCTCCACCCTGCTCCTGGCCCTGGAGATTGCCGCACAGAGGACACACTTGGCCTTGACGCGTAGCAGCTTCTCGGGACAACATGGGAAGCCGCAGACCTGAATCCACGGGCCTCTTGAAGCAGGCACCACCATACCCATGGAGCTATAACTGAAGCACAGGCCAGGAGACAGAGGGTGGGTTTCAGCTGTGGCTCGGGACCCAGGCTGAAGATCCCGTGCCTCCCAGGAGATGAGGGAGGGGGCGTGAGGGATTGCAGAGTGAGGAGAAGGAGAAGGAGAAGGAGAAGGAAGGATATGGGAGTAGCGAGAGTCGAGGAGGAGGAAAGACGGAGACGGGGACGGGCACTGGGAGGGCGGCCGTGTGTGGGACTCGGAAAGGAGAAGGCAGCAACAGAACCAGAGGAAGGACAAAGGAGACAGAAGGAATAATAGGAAAGCGCGAAAAAGCCAAGAACATCAGTAATTTTTTTTGGCAGAGCCTGTTAATCCCCGGAGCCTGAAACTGGTCTCCTAGCACTATACAAGCACGCTTCAGTAAATCTTCTCATTTTAGCAGGTGCTCAGCACCCGCTGACCACGGTACGAGCCACTGGGTGCTCCGAACATTGACTACCAAGCCACGTAGTTAGGTGTCTACGTGGGAACCCAAGTGCATGATTTCAGACCCCAGGCCTTGACAGCCCTGGCATTAGCTGCACTCCTGCTGTCTCTGTTGCAGCGGCCGCTCGTGCTGGGATTTACAGGCTGCTTTTAGCGTTCACCCCGTCAGCCCAATCATTTTGGTCCGACTTGGGGATATAGAGAATGGCTCGAGTTCGGGCTGCAACATGCATCCAGCTGGCCCCGAAATCACCTGCAGACACTGCTCTGCTCCCAGCGGGGAGAGGGGGCGACAGGTACATCAGACAAGACACTGGCCCACTTGCATCTGGGAGGTTTAAGCTGGGATGAGCACTAGGAGTTCAAGAGAGAGGCATTTTCCAAGCCTCAGGTCAGCCAAGGCTCCAGCTCTTGCTGAGAGCATAATCTCTCGCCGACTGACGAACGAGCTGTGTCCTGCAGCCTCCAGCCCCAGACCTCCCATGTGGAAGCACGCAAGGCTGCAAAGCAGAGCGAGCCCTGCCAGGGCCGCGTGCTCACACAGAGACATGCTCGCTCATCTGCTCTGGCCAGCTCACGGGGGAAGAGAGGCTTCTGGCCCGTCTCCCTCCTGCTCTCTGTCCGCCCTCCCCTGCACTGGCTTTTGCTGCCCCACACCTTACATGCTGCCTGCGACCCAGCCCTGCACATCCATCACCTGCACTCCCATTTCATGACCTCTGGGGCAGCGCGCTAGCGAGCTCTGCTTTCGCTGCTCGTACAACGGGATGCTTTTGTGACTACAAAGCTGGCGTTTCGCGCGTGCCCCTCACCCCGTCACAACCCTCACATTCCCCCCAGCTTACACTATTGCCTAAGCCTTGCCAATTCAGAGAGCTCCTCCAGGCCACAGATCAAGACGCCTGCGTGAACACATGAAAGCAGCTATGAGCTGAACCCAAGCGCCACAGGAGACTCGGCTTTATCATCAAAGGTCTCATTACTTCACCCTTCAAAGACGGGTACGCTGCTCGGGATGCATGCAGCCTGGATACGGAGGACTCTCCCCCCGTCCAAAGAGGTATGCCGACACTGTTAATATTGGCAGCCCACGGCTTAAAAACAAAAATCCAGCTTTGACAGAAAACCAAAATAGACTGCAGGGGCCCTTTTATTTTATTTTTAAGAACAAAATCTCGGTTAAGGTAATTGCATACATGTCACTCTTGCACGAGTGGGAGCTGCAGCCTCTAATTTTAAAGAGTGTGCAGATGTGCTTGTTAATAAGGCTCCAATAGCAAATAATTGCTGCTTTTTGTACCCTGTTCAGACCCCAGGCATTAAATGGAGAAAAGACTGCCAAATCCCATTTGTTATTTCTAACACTCTCTCTGTTACCTCTTGTTTCTATGGCAATAATCCCAAGAAAGATTACATGTTCATATAGATCGCAAAATAAATCTCCTGGCTATCGTGTTGCCTGAGCCAGGAATAGAGTTAAAAAGCTGTAAATTTATAGGACATTTTCTTGCATCAATGCAAAATACAGATTTCAGGGATATAATTTGTGCCATGTAATTCCTCATTGTCAGCACCATTTTTATTATCCAATAGTAATGCATCTGAAGAGGCTACTGCCTGAACCTCTGTATCTCATTATGAGGGAAATTTGGGGAACAATGCAATGTATGCTACTTCCAAAAATCACTGGGGTTTTTCAAGCTAAATAAGCAGGGCATGTGCAGCTGTCATCAGTGCTGCTTTCGGTAAGAAATAACAAATTCCACCTCCCACCATGCTCCGCTGAATCAGACTCCAAAAATCCACTGGCAGACGCTCACAGCCTCCACGGGAGTTGCTTCGCAGGCAGATAATAGCCTCGTACAATTCCCAACTTAAGAGACTGCTGGGAAAGAGGCTTGTGCTGCAGTATGGAAGGTCTCGAGTTCAAATCCTGGTGAGCAGCGTCATGCAGGCATACAGTGAAGGACGACCAGACCAGACTAAGAAACTTGAGTGAAAAGTAAAGCTTTTGCACCATCAAGCCCTGGACTGAAGTTCATTCCAACAAGGACAGTAACGTGTTAAGCAGGAAGGCAGCGTGCTGCACACGGGCTCTTTACGAAGCTGCAACCGAAAGTCAAACTGTTCTTGCTGTCCTTTTGAACTATATGCAAAGATGGATTCCCTTTAATGCAGCTCTGTTTCTGGAAGAAGCTGTACGTGGACTTATGCTATCAATCACCATAATACAGAAAATGAAAACACTAAGTGCACTGAATGCAAAAAACCAAGGGATATTTGTCTTATTTGTCTGCAGTGATGGATGTTAATAATGGGAGCACGCGTCTTCTTCTCCGTGTGTTGCAATCTTGTCCCATCCCTTGCATACACTACTGTGATACGCTGATGTCAGGTGAGAAGGTGAAGGCTTCCTTTTTAACTTTAAATCTTGCAAATGTAACCACAATCAACCCGGCTGTATCTTTACACAACCGTGCTAGGCCACAAACCTTCTTAGTGCCCGACCAGCCCGGGCTACTCGGCACATAAAGGCCCAAAACTAAAAAAGGCCATTGCTAAGTGCTCTAGAAGGAGCAATGGCAGTTAAATACATCCACCTCTCGAACCCTCTTGTTGCTGGTGGGCATCGAGGGGGCTATTGGCAGGTGGTCTGGGCGAGTGGAAGCATTCCCCCAGAAAAGAAAAGGTGCGAGAGATCCAGCATATTCCAGCATTCAAACCGTTGACGTGCCCTTAAGAAAGTCCAGGGGAAGATCCTTTTCTTTTGGTGGGGGTTTCTGAAGGTATCCTAGGGGAGAGGGGAAATACAATAGCATCTTCAGCAGCCCTTGCATCGGGGACAGTCGGACCAGCAGGCTCCTGAACAGGGCCATATCCTGGAACAAACAGGCCAGATCTCAGTCCTTGAGCCTCTACACTGTCAAATGCCACTTGCTGCCAACCATGGCACGTTGTATCCACTTTGCAGGAGGAAAAATTGAGCAGACAAGGGCCCAGGGCACCGGACAAATCTGGCCGATACAACTGGTGCTAATCAAGAAAGCTCTTTGTGCGCCGTTTCCTAGTTTACAGCTCGGTAAACCAGCGACCTCCAGAGATGCAAGCAGCAACAGACTCTGCTGCGTCCTGCTGTGCTTATTTAAGATTTTTAAATGGGAGCTATGATATAGTCGGCCAAGGATAATGAGATGCAAAGCTCAGGCAATATCCACTCTTCAAAGACACTTATATTTGATAATCAAAATGCAGCTTGCCAGACCTGAAAACTTACACTGCATATATTATAACCCTAAATAGCATATTTCCACTGCAGAAAAAGGGGGACCATTTCAATATTATATTCATAACAAAGATAGATTTTTAGCTCACACAACTGTTCTTTTATTCCTCTTGCTCTTTTCCCTCCCTTCCTGTCTTACATATTCATTAAACTCTTTAGCTTTTATATTGTAGTTCTTCTATGACTTTGTTTCACTATATTACAGCCATTTAAAAATTAACTAAGCTATCTAAAAAAGAAACAGGAGAATTACGTCAATACACTGCTTTTTGGCTTTCCCAACTGGGTCAGCATGATATTCCAACTCAATGATTTCTACTGTGCGAGGCTTTAGAAGTTTCCAATGTGTAATAAATGACACAATGCTAAATAAAAATTATGTGTTTTCTTTTTGTAAAAACACACAGAGACGTTTTACCCACCTCGGGATTCAGCAGAGGCCAAGAAAGGATTTGAGGATTTGATCCACTGCGCCAGAAAGAACCAAAACTCTGACTGGCGCTGTGCCGAGTGCCTCCGTGACAGCGTTCGGTGGGCAGGAAGGAGGACTTCCCATCAAATCCCAAAAGGCGTGCACAGGCCTTCACACTAGCAGCTGCAACGCTCGTGGTCAGCCCCTTGCGCAGAACGTTTCTACTTGTGGCTTGCTGGGGGTCAGTCTAACAGTGCTCGTACTGGGCAGCGGGTATCCAGCAGGGCTCAGTTTCTGGGCACGTGTTTTTGCCCGGAGCAGGAGAACCCCTCCTCCCTGCCGGCAGACTTGCACCTCCTCTCTGACCGATGGAAAGCTTCTGCAGATGTCCAGCAGCGGGCAGGAGGCGTGTGAGCGCTCGTAAGCCGTCTGCTGTCTGCTACCACCCCAGCAGCAGCGGGCACTTCCCGGGACTGCCCCCCACCCCATGCCCATCATGGCACGTGGAGTCAAAAGGTGCTGGCAGAAGCAAGACTGCACTTCCAGAAGCACTTGGCTG